GGGAGAGCTGGTGCCCCGTGAGCCCCCCTGCCCTGGGCTCCCTCCTGCCCTGGGCTCCCTCCTGCCCTGGGCTCCCTCCTGCCCTGGGCTCTCCTCCCTTGGGGCAGGGGGTGCATGTGCCACCCAGTCGCACAGAGCCCTGGCTGTCCCGTCCCTCCAGGGCCATCATTGCTGCTGTTGGGGTGTGACTGGGGCTGTTTCCCGGGTTTAGCTGCTGTCTGAGAGGTCTTGAGAAACCTGCAGGATCCCAACAGGCCTTTTCCTTCCCTTCCATCTTCAGTGTCTTTTTATTTTTCCTTGCACCTCTTTAAACACCTTTTGACTTAACCTGGCCTCTCGTCCCCTCAACAGCAAGAAAATGTCCCCATGACTGCCTGCCCCGGCCCCCTGCCCACATGTTGTTCCAGCCTGTCCCAGAGCCAGGCTGCTGGCTGTGTCCTGCCAGGTCCTCGATCCCCACTGTGGTGCGGAGGAGCTGGTGACACAGGGTCAGGCTGGTTCCAGGAGCCTGGCGTGTCTCAGACGAGCTGGTGCAGCCCCCCAACACTGAGCTGGGAGCCCCTGGCTGCCTTTGTGGTGGGAAGGACCCCTCTCCCCAAGGGTGTCTGTGCAGAACCAAAGGGACCTGCTGGTCCTGCATCTCCCTGTCCTGTCTGAGCAGGGGTCCTCGCCAGGTTTCAGCTTTGACGTGCCTTTTTTTTTCTCCCTCTCCTTGCTCTGCAGGCTGCAAAATCAAAGCCCTACGTGCCAAGACCAACACGTACATCAAGACGCCGGTCAGGGGTGAGGAGCCCGTTTTCATCGTGACTGGGAGGAAGGAGGATGTAGAGATGGCAAAGAGGGAGATCCTCTCGGCCGCCGAGCACTTCTCCATGATCCGGGCGACACGCAACAAAGTGAACGGGCTGACGGGAGCGATGCAGGGGCCCCCCAACCTGCCGGGCCAGACCACCATCCAGGTGAGGGTCCCGTACCGTGTAGTGGGGCTGGTGGTGGGGCCCAAGGGAGCCACCATCAAGCGGATCCAGCAGCAGACACACACCTACATTGTGACACCCAGCCGGGACAAGGAGCCTGTCTTCGAGGTGACGGGCATGCCGGAGAACGTGGACCGGGCTAGGGAGGAGATCGAGGCGCACATCACCATGCGGACAGGCTCCTTCATCGATGTCAATGCCGACAACGACTTCCACTCCAACGGCACCGACGTCTGCCTCGACCTGCAGGGCAGCACGGCCAAACTGTGCGC